CAGTAGGTAGCAATAAATTTCCTCTCTCTCTTAATAATCCATTTACGCAAAGCTCTTAACATAATTTTCTTGATACTATTTCTAGTGCGCAGCATTTAATTCTGTTGTTGTCAAGTGTTAGTTCTTTATTCTACCATACCATTATATATTCCGTGAGCAAGAGAGAATCTCTTTACAGAGCAGAATTAAGAGGTTAAAAACACAAAAAAAAGGATTAAAAATTATCTTCTAAAATGATGGCTGGAGAAGTTGTTATGAAAACACACATTTTGAGTCTCATAGTTGTTACCACCTTCCTCCATTACTTAGCTTTTGCTAACCACTACCATTTCATCGTAAGCACATATTATTATCAGCTTCTTTATTAATTAATAATCCTTATGTGAATTAATTAACGTTGTATGGCATGGTAGGTTAAAGAAGCTTCGTTCGAAAGGCTATGCAAATCAAAGGAAATTCTAACTGTGAACGGCAAGTTTCCAGGGCCGACCCTCTATGCTCACAAAGGATCTACTCTTATTGTTGATGTCTATAACAAAGGAAAGTACAATCTCACTATTCACTGGTAAATATATTCCAGTTTTCTTTAAATATTTTACTTTGGTGCACCCTATATATATACCCTTTTAATTTTGTTCTTTTCAACCTTTGGTGATTTTACTTTCAAAATATATAAACAAGGCATGGAGTGAAACAGCCACGGAATCCCTGGTCAGATGGTCCTGAATATATCACCCAGTGTCCAATTCAACCAGGCTCTAAATTCAGACAAACAATAGTACTTTCTGACGAAGAAGGTACTATTTGGTGGCACGCGCACAGCGCTTGGGCGCGTGCCACAGTTCATGGCGCCATTGTTGTTTACCCGAAGCCCGGAACTAGTTATCCTTTTCCCAAGCCTCAGGCTGAGATACCAATTATTTTAGGTACAATTATAAATATTCCTTCTAAACATCTTATTTTAATGGAATTACATATAAATTTATTTTTCATTTTCACAAATTTAACTAATTAAGTTTCTTTTTCTTTAATTTGATTCTCAGCTGAGTGGTGGAAGGACAGTGTTGTGGAGGTTTTAAAGGAATTTACTGCCTCAGGAGGTCAGCCTAGAAATTCTGATGCATTTATGATTAATGGTCAGCCTGGTGATTTTTACCCATGTTCAAAACATGGTAGGTAACCCATTGCTATCAGAAAGTTAATGACATTGATCTTTACAAGTTTCTACGCATTAATATATATTGCTCATGTACTAAAATAAGAAATTAAACAAACTTTAGCTATAGGATTATTCTTTGCTGCATTGAAATACTCATCTTTTCCTTTTATTGGCTTCATGATAGTAACACCTTTGAATATTTATCCCTCACTATTTAATTGTTACCTGCCACTAATAAAAACTTAGAGTTTAGATTCTATACGTTGATAGTATAATTTTTTTTAAATACTCTCAAGTCACCTAAATGATAAGTAGCGGCCAGTAACCGTTCATAAAAAGTGGGACTAGTAATAAGAAAAAGGCTTGTTGCATGTTGATCGGGTTAAAATATAAGTACTACGTAGTTAAAAACCTTTTATAGTGTGCGTATATAACTTTAACCCATTTTTTTATACTGTTCCTTATCCTTCTTCATTCTTTTCCATTCTTTTGTTTTCTTTGTTTGAGCAGGAACTTTCAAGCTAGAAGTTAAGTCTGGGAAGACTTATCTGCTAAGAATTCTTAATGCTGCAATGAATGAAATTCTCTTATTCGCGATTGCAAAGCACAAATTAACAGTGGTTGGAACAGATGGAAGCTACACAAAGCCATTGACAAGGGATTATATCGCGATAAGTCCTGGACAAACACTTGACTGCTTGTTGAAAGCTAATCAAGAACCTAATTTTTACTACATGGCTGCTAGAGCATATACTAATGGGAATAATGTCCAATTTGATAACACAACAACCACAGCCATTGTTAAATATGAAGGAAATTACTTAATTTCTTCACCTCTTTCACTACCTTATTTACCTTCTTACGCTAACACACCTGCAGCTGTTAATTTCAGTGGCAGCCTAAGAAGTTTAGCTTCTAAACACCATCCGATATCCGTCCCACTTAAAGTGAAAACAAGGTTGGTTTCAACTGTTTCAATTAACTTATTGCCTTGTCCTATAAATGGTACAAATGTTACAACATGCCAAGGACCAAATGGGACACGATTATCGGCTAGTATGAACAACATTAGTTTTGTGACACCAACATATAACATACTAGAAGCCTATTATTATCACATTAAAGGTGTGTTTTGGACCAAATTTCCTAGCTTTCCACCATATGTATTTAATTACACTTCTGATGTCCTGCCTTTAGAGCTCGAGTTACCTGAATTTGGGACACAAGTGAAAGTGCTGGAATATAATACAACAGTTGAGTTGGTACTGCAGGGGACTAATTTGGTCACTGGCTTAGACCATCCAATGCATCTTCATGGGTACAATTTTTATGTTGTTGGTTGGGGATTTGGAAATTTTGACGAAAAACAGGATCCTCAGAACTATAATCTTGTTGATCCTCCTCGAAGAAACACCGTTGCTATCCCTAGAAATGGTTGGATTGCCATTAGATTCAGGGCAGATAACCCGGGTAAGTCTTCCTCATAACGCATACTTAGAATTTATTTTTATGATATCAAGTCACCTAAAATATAATCACAGGCTTAACTAACTGTTTATAATAAGTGAAACTAGTTTCCTGAAAAATAAGGTATTCACATTTATAATGTAGAAGTTATTTATACAACCAGTGTAGATAAGTTAAAATGTTAAATCCTTTTATTCATTGTGGAACTTATTATGTTAACCCTTTGTTTTTTTATTTCTTATTGCTTTAGGAGTTTGGATTATGCATTGTCATATTGAGCGTCATCTTACATGGGGGATGCAGACAGTGTTTATAGTGAAAAATGGACACAGGCCAAAAGAACGCATTTTCTCGCCTCCTCAGGACATGCCACCTTGCTGATTTTTCCATCATTTACATATTGCTAAAATATTTATATGTGTGTTTATAGTATAGTGATTATTTTAGGGAAGGAAACTATCCTGATAAATAGTTTGTGGAGTTATTATAGTATTGCATTTGAACTGAAATTAATTGTTATGTGGTTTCATATGTATATTTGCTACTGTTTCAGTGACTAAAGACATGAATGAGAATACTGTGGTTTTCCACATGATATCATTACGGAAGTTGTACAAATGTTTTAAATTTCTTTTTTTTATCATCTTAATTCGTGCTGTTGTGCCGGCGGTCTTTTCTTCTTGGAACATTAGTGTTAGTTTGAGGAACCTGGTTCGTTACCTTACTCCTTATCCGTAAAGTAAATACAATAATTTTTATGTGGAGAATCATCCTACTTAAAAGGTGCAAAAATCTGTAATTTAATACTCTCCATTTCTCCTACTTCAAATATTTGATTTACAAGTTACTCTAACTTGCAAAATCAAACACTCACTCCAACTCACTGATTATATATGACACTTTTATTACAGCTCGATTTTCTAAAACACATTTACTAGACTGACTCAACAAGAACACAATACTAGTACTCGACTTGAGTATGAAAAATGTAGTTTTTCAGTTGACGTGCAAAAGGATGATCTCAGCAGTCCAAAAATATAGTAGTATTTAAATTCTCTGGACTCCGAGATCTTTTAGGAGTACTATGCGTAATTAGCTTCTTGTTTGATAGGACTCCTACGGCTCTTGGGACTCCACAAGTCTTGGGACTCTTGTCTTTCACTTATGCAAGCGTATCTTCTTGGGCAACAACCCGTATCATGTTTAGCAGTCCTCTTCCAACAAACTCAGACCCGGGTAACTTTGAGATAAAGTTATTGTCTTGCAAAAGCGTGCAATCATCAACCTTGAGGAGCTGGTTCTTAGAGCAGTTAAGCAGCTACGCTGAGGACCTAGTTCTTAGAGCATTTCATCTTAACAAATTTTGTTAACCATCAAAATCTCAATATCCAACAATTAGATTAATTAATTAGCCGGCTATATAAATTTGAATGTAATCTATTTAATATTACGAGAGGACAAATATGATAATAAAGAGCAACCTGAATATTTCTAACCGGACACAAGCTGATGTTAGCTTAAACAGGTCCAAACTAGATGAGCCTTGCCCGTGCATAGCACGGGCCCAACATTTAGAATGCTGATATAGTTTAAGGATTGTTTCTAATCTTTAGAGAATCTATTATTTAAACCTTAAATAGGAACACATACCTTAGAACAACCATGATTTCAAAAATACAAAAGCACAAATTCCATCTTTAGTAAATAGTAACAAATATAAAAGACTACATACTACTTGAAAGTTGAAACACATATATTCAGAACGCGCATTCAAGAACAATGAATCTCGTCCCTCATTGAAATTACATCCACGAAATAACCATACAAAATGACGGTCAAAAGGCACTACTTGTTTATGACTTGGTTGCTAAAATATTTTCTGCTAGTAGTAGCTACAATAACTGCATAACTAAGATACCATAAATAAGAACATATAAATAGGTGATTCAACTCCCTCATACATCTTTGTCCAAATTCTATGCTTTGATTGTTACTTGGTCTTTATAAATGTCTTGCTTGAACTGGTTGAGCCGGGTAAGAATGTCATAACTTTAGGAGATTTTTAAAAATCTGTAGTACGATAAACACACCAGAAGCCTCCTCTAAAGCAATAACTTCTTTATTAGCCGTTTAATTTAAAGTTCATTACTTAAGAAAAACTGACAAAGAAGTAATGCATTAATCATCCATCAGCGAAATGGTATGATAAAGATAAAATTTAGCCCCTAAATAAATTAAATTTCTTATGATCAAGACACTGGACATGCACAAATGTAATAATAAAAAAATACATCATTACAACATAACACATCAAGGTTTTGATTGAAATAAAACTAATTTGAAATTAGTAATTAAATAAATAGCTTGCAAAAAAAGAAAAATAAAGACAACATACATTATAAAAGAACTCTTTCTACTAGCATGTTAGAATCAATTGAAGCATGTGGATAACTGCAACTTATAATGAAATAAATAAAAGTAAACACAATATAGGCACACTCAACACTGATTGTTTCAAGAAAGATAAACATAAATATATAGGTAACAGTCTGTTGAGAGATCGAATGAATTAAAAAAGGTATCAAGATATATAGTTCATTGCCATTACCAATTTAAGTAATGAAGGAGAGGCTTTAGTCATCTGCAACCATAGCAAGAAAATTTTGGGTAGTTTAACCTGCCAAAAAAGAAAAACGTCAAAAGTAGTCACACAGCAACACGTTCATAGTACATTATATATGTTAAAAGATAGAATATATATGAATGTAATTGCACATTCTATTTACAAATACATATCCTATCATCCTCAAGTGTTTCATGTATTGAACTAAAAGTAGAACAAACCAAACTATCAAGCACTAACTAAGTGGCCAAGTGAATTAATCTCTACCAAATATGTGAAGATGGTAAATCAATCCACCATTTGTACTTTCAGATAAAACATATACATGAAATACAAACATAAAGTATATTCCAAGAAAATTATATGAAAAAATGTTAGGTGAAGAACAATAAGAAAGAATAGGAAAAGATAGCATGTGTTGATTCAATATCTAGCTACATGGAACTCTATTTCACGACATGAATATATAGGTAATAACACCAACATTGATGTTCCTAAAACGGACATCCATGCCAATCATATGTTAAAATGATAATAATACATGAATAACCATATTCTTGATGAATAGCTTATGAGTTATAAACCATATTAACATTTGGGCATAATTTTTTATTCTTTAGCAAATTGGAGTAAATTGATAACAAAACAAAGGTGACCAATCTAATCAAGACAAGAGCCTGGCCCGAATTATATATGTTACAACCTTCATCACTTGGAATGAAAGTGAATGCTCCATTCATACTCTGTGAAGTACAGAGTTGTGAATATAGTTCATAGAACTATTCCAAACTAAATAATGGACAAGTTTAATTGCCATTGATAGACGAATATCTAAAGAGCTTTAAAATTGGCCAAAAAAGTTAAGATCAATCAAATATAGCAATAAAATATACTTGACTGATTATTAGTAGATTATTAGTACAAAAAAAAAAAGAGATCATTATCAAAAAGGCCATTGGCATCTTTCTAATTTTCTTCTTTTGGCGGATGGGAGGAGAAATTACAAATAAAAGTGAAGCTTAACTTTTGCTTCAAAGAATCAAAGAGCAGTCTCAATAAGTAAAAAATGGTAACAAAAATATCTTTCCCAAAATGAACACTTCTCGCATGAACTTATGAGTTCATGAAAAATATTTAATTATTGAAATTTCACCTAGTAGAAGTTTTATAAAGTTCATTATGGAGATTTGTTGTTAATATTAAGAGGCTATTTGTGTCACCGCTCCTTTCCTTTTCCTCAAATAGATACTTAAGCATCTTTAAAGTTTCTGCAAAGGGAGAAATAGAAAAGAATACGAAAGGAGAAAAATATCAAATGATTGTTTTTGTACTTATCTCTAAAATAAGGCAGTTGAATAATGACGATCAGAGAGGATATGCTTTTAAGTTCAACACATTTAATACAATTCGAATTCTTTTTTTTTTGTTTTCAGTAGTCATTAGTCTTGTAAAACACATAATAGGGTAAAATAGTAGAACTATTAATTTTCAAAAGAAGTGAATTTTCAGCCAAATAAAACTTTTATAATTTAATAGGCATTATATGAGCAGTAAAAGAAAAAGTTATTTATCCAGAATTACTCATGTTTATGCAAAGATTTTAATATTCAGCTAAGTTTGTTCGCTATCAATCACATGATCTTACTGTAAAAATATGGAGAAGCAATTACCTGATGTGAGCATATTTCTCTATCAAGGGATAAATCATATCATTCGGCTAGCAATGCTCTGTTAAATTTAACATATTTATAAGAAATCAGTTAAATACGTGACTCATTTAAATTACAATAAAAAATACTCTATTTACTATAGCTTAAATGCTTCCACCACCAAGAGAAATAAAATACAATGCAAATCAACATAGGATTATATAGATAATAGATTGCAGAATATCTTTCAAAACTCCACATAATTAGTCAAGTGGATCTTCCTATTATGTACAATGTTGTCTTATACATAACCAAAGATACATTAGTTAACCCAACACATGTTCTATCGCTGGAAACCAAAAAGGGAACCAGAAGATATCGTTTAGTTTAGTAATTGTCTATAATTTTTAAAACACATATTCATTAATTGAAAACCATTAGATGATCGAAATTCTCTCGTGGATCAGTGATCGATGATCTAATTCTATTAATAAAGTGTGTTATTCTAAAAGAATGTATTTAGAACAATATTTAGAAAGCAACGACATGATCTTCACTACAAAGCTAATCCATGGGAATTCGGTAAAAGAAAATTGGAACCAAAATTCAATAATTTTTTAATTATTTTTTATCCCTAGGTTTCCTGAAAAACAAATAAAAAAAGGGAACAGGACACACGCATCCCCTGAATAAGCAGAAGCATGAAAAAAATATACAAAGAAAAAATATATAATATCCCTGACTATGAGAACTCATCTCTGCACAAAATCGACATGAATAATTTTATCCCTAAGAATTGACAGAAAATATAGGATCAATACAATTTTAACTTTCTCGAATTTGTGCATTGTGTCTCATATATGATCATATTGAGAAAATTAGAGCAAAACAACCCCAATTATCTCCCATAAAGCGCTCATGACAAAGACAGTGAAGAAGCATGTGAACTAAAAACAAAACATACTCTAAAAAATATATTACCTCTCTATAATCAATCATAATGCGTGTTCTACTTGTTCCCAGAGATTCAACCTTTAAGAGCAGTAAATACATGGTAAAAGACCACCATTATCGTCGGCAAATAACTCCAAGTTTTGCCCTAAACTCGTATACCTCACACAAACTCTCTAATTACAAAAAGCAAATCGGATAGGAAAATAAAGCCCTAATAGAAATTAATAAAAAAAAAACAAGATTTGGGCAAAGATTGAGAGAGAAACAGACCTGAAACTTGCAACACCCAACTGCGAAGATGAAGAGAAATGAAAAAAAATATTATTTGAGAGGACAAATTGAGAACCAGAGAAAACCAACATTTCTTGTTGTGGCTTGGAAGAATCTGCGTTTAGAATTGTGTTGAGTTGTTAATTGAAATTACAATTTTACCCTTGAGCTCAAATTACAGTTATGCCATTAGTCGACCACACTTTCTTTTCTATATAATAGAAATTTTAACCCAAATCAATGACATCTGGATATAAAAAGGAGGCTCAAAAGGCTTCGTCCATGGAAAACCGTTTGGGTTAACTAGCTGGCCAAGGATCCATTATTTTGTCACCTTCAAATTGTTTGTTTGAGACCAATGATGAGTCTTTAGTCATATAATTTGATAGAACAACATAAGTTAAAAGGTAAGAGTATGAGGAAAACGGAAATTAATAAGACAGCAAGCAAAAAGCTTCATGAAGTGGAATACTTGTTGTATAAGCGGAGGCGGATCCAAAATATAAATTTTATGGGTTCAGCCTTTAAGATTTTTATCATTATATTTTTAAAATCGTAGGTTCAAATTTATTATTTATTATAATTTTAATAAATTTCTATATACAAATTTATGTGCGTTCAGTTGAACCCGATTTCAGAAGCTAAATCCGCTTCTATGTATAAGAAGATATAGATAAGCTACTTTTGTTCTAAGATTAGGATCCAAACGTAACGTAAATATGGTTACTTGTTAATCATACGAACAATTTAAATTATATACGCTGACGGTAAAAAAGAATATTTCTACAATAAATTCACTTATTAGGTTGATGGATAAATCCTTATAAATATTAATTTGTAATTGTTATTTGTGACTTGAATTATTTCCTTATATTTCTAGGAAACCCGTAATCCCTATAGATTTAGGAAAATCCGTTGCTCTAATAGTTTTGGGAAAGAAAAACTTATTGTCCTTGTCAGATTATGAAACCTTTCTCTTATAGGTTTGGTACTATTTGGAATATATACATAGGGGTTGTAGTTGGGGATTCTATAGATTGTATTGTGCTTTTTTTTTTTATTCATAGTGAAAAACTCTCTATGCTTCTACCCCGAGGATTAGGCTTAACCAAACCTCGTTAGATCCTTGTGTTGATTTTTCTTCTCTATTTGCTTTGTGTGATTATGTGCTGGTTAACCCACGATCTTCATCAACAATTAGTATCAGAGCAAGATTCAGGTTTTTACATATAATCTAGGGTTAAGTTGTCTTCATCATCTTCAACAAAGTACGAAGTAGAGAAATTCGATGGAGGTTCTAGTTTCAGTTTATGGAAGATTAGGATGAAATCGTCTCTGTTATTACAAGAATTATAGAAGGGAATTGATGAGGATTTATCTGAAATGATGAAAGAGACAGAGAATGCAAACATGGAAGAGAGGGCTTTAAGTACGATTTTCATGAACGTTACAAATAGCGTTATTCGGAAAATTGCTAAAGAAACTTCTGCAGCAACGATATAGAAGAAGATGGATGATCTGCATTCTAAGAAATCACTGACAAATCACCTTTACCTGAAAAACAATGTTATACAATCTCTATATGAACAAAGATACACCTGTTAAAACTCACATTTATGAGCTTAATTCAATTATAATGGACTTGAAGAAAGTATATATCAAAATAAAGAGTGAAGATCAGGTCTTGATTGTGTTATATTCTTTACCACCGTCTTATGATACTTTTGTCGATACATTGCTATATGGGAAAGACACTATTCTACTTGAAGATGTTAGTAATGCATTAAAATCTAAAGAGTTGAAAAAGAGATTTTCAGATAGCAGAATTGAGGCGAGGGTCTTATGATTAGAGTAAGAATACAATAAAAGGACTTTAAAAGGAAAAAATCAATTGCCAGATCAAAGTCTAGAGCAAGGAAGCAGAACTGTTATGAGAGCGGGGAGCAAGGTCACTAAGAGAGATAGTCTTAAGCCGAAAGAGAAAAGAATGAAGCAGAATGTAGATAATTCTGCAAATATTATCGACATTTGCAATAATTCTGATGATAGGGACTATGTAGGGGAAGTTTGTGCAGTAAGTTCTAGTCATGGGTAGAATTTCTCGGTTCTTGATTCTAGTACTACTTTTTACATATGTCCACACAAGAATTGATTTTCAACTTAGAAGTAGATGAGTGGGACTGTCTACCTGAAGATGATAATCCATTACCAGTAGAGGGGATTGGTAACATCAGATTGAGAATGTTCGATGGAATTATCAAAAACATTGAGTGTTGGTATGTTCCTCGGATAAAGAGAAATTTTATTTTCTTTTCGACTTTGGATGATCAAGGGTATAAGTTCCACTCCATCAATGGAATACTTAAAGTGTGTAACGGCTCCATTGTAATCATGAAGGGTAAATTATATTCTAAATTGTATCATCTTCAGGCCAGTGTAGTTGAAGGAAAATCTGTTCTAGCTTATGGAAAAAGTGATCTGAATCATTCTTAGCCGTGGCACTTGCAACTTGGTCATATGAGTGACAAGGGACTGTCTTTGTTAAGCAAGCAAATTTTCTAGATGGGTACAAAAATCAAGTTTTTAATTTTTGTGAGCATTGTGTGTTTGGTAAACAGACAAGGGTAAAATTCAGCAAGAAGGCAGAGCACATGACCAGAGACAAGTTAGAGTATATACATTCAAACTTGTGGGGTCCAAACAGAGTTCCCTCCAAGAGTCGTGCCATGTATTTTATGACTTTGGTTGATAATTACTCAAGGATGATGTGAGTGTGTTTTCTGAAAATAAAAGATGAGGCATTTTCGACATTTGTTAAATAAAAGACAATGTTGAGGGGCAGACAGAAAGAAAAATTAAGTATCTTCGGACTGACAATGGGTTAAAATTTTGCAATTTTGAGTTCAATAATTTCTGCAGCAGAGAGGGCATAGTAAGACACCGTATTTGTGTTGGAACACCACAACATAATGGTGTTGCAGAACGTATTAATAGAACTCTTTGTGATAGGGCATGGAGCATACTTTCACACTCATGTGTTAGCAAAAACTTTTGGGTTGAAGCAATCAATACAACTTGTTATTTGGTCGACATATCTCCATCCACAACTATTGAGTTCAAAACTTCTTTTAAGTTGTGATTCGGTTTGTCTGTTGATTATTCAAACTTGAGGATATTTGGTTGTCCTGCTTATGCTCATAAGGGAAGAAAAACTTGAGCCGAGGGCAAATAAGTGCATATTTCTAGGGTATGCAACTTGAGTGAAAGGTTATAGGTTGTGGTGCACAGATAAAAAGACTCCAGAGTTAATTATCAGTAGGGATGTGACATTCAATGATTCTGCCTCACAAGACAGTGAGAGAAAGAAGGCAATAGCAGAAACAGATAGTGGTGTCAGTGACCACATAGAGCTAGAAATTGAATCTCCATTAGCTCAGGCCAATAATTCTAAAGTAGAGTGTAACGACCCGACCAATCATTTGGAGTACTAGATTACCTTTATGTGTTCCAAGACTTTTTTTAGATCCATTTGATGTTTCTTGATTTACGTGTGTGGTCCGTGTCATTTTCAGAAAGTTTTTACATAAAATTTTGAAGAAAATAATATTTTTGACTTAAAAGAGGCTAGATTTGACCACGATCAATATTTTTAGTAAACAATCTTACATCAGTATTTTGATCATTCTGGTAGGTTTATATATTTTTTTTGAACTTGTACACACTTTTAGTTTGGATCCGGGGTGATCCGAGCGCATTTTGGCGCATTATGTGAAAAGCTGTGAAAGTAAGTTTTAAGTTGAAACTCTTGAGTTTTGATGATCAGTTCATGTTATTTGATGTTGTTTTGATGATTTAAGGTAGCGATTAAGTTTGTATGATATTATTACACTTGTATGCATGTTCGATTTGGAGCCTGAGGGGCTCGGATGAGTTTCAGGTGCATTGCGAATGAGTTTGGGATGCTGATGCATAGCTGTTACTGATGTCAACTTGCAGATCTCGCAAATGCGAGAATACTACTTGCAGATGTGAGCCTAGCTTTTATTAGTGCCCACTCGCATCTGCGAATGGAGCTAGGGAATGGGCACTTCGCAAATGCGAAGTTTTGTTCGCAAAAAATATACATGTCGCATTTACGGCACCTGGGAAGGATGGCTAGCTTCCCAAATGCGAAGCTTTGTTCACCAATGCGCACAAGGGGGCAGTCACAAATGTGAATATTTTGTCGCAATTGCGACTTCTTGGGGCCCTGATGCACTGTCACTTTTTCGTTCAGTGTTTTGCAAATGCGGGTATCATAATTACGAACAAGAGTTCGTGATTGCTATACCTGCAGCTTGGTAAAAGAGGGAAAAGTCGGAATTTAGCTCATTTTACACAATTTCTCAACGCTAAACACTCTACAGGCGATTGTTGAAGAACTTTTTCTTCTCAAATTCTTTTGTAAGTATCTTTAACTAGTTTTGAATCAATTTTAGTTACTTATTCATGAATTTTAACATCAAAGCTATGAATTTCAAAGTAGAAATTGAGGATTTTGAAAAATAGAGATTTAGACCTCAGTTTGAGGTCGGACTTCAAAATAAATTATATATCCGGGCTCGGGGGTGAATGAATAATCGGGTTTTGATCCGAATCTTGGATTTTGACCAAGCGAACTAGGGGTTGACTTTTGTTGAATTTTGGAATTTTGACCAAGATTGAACCTTTATCAATTGGGGATATTTTCTTTAACATTATTTGACTTCGTTAAATGATAATTGACAAGTTTTGATTATTTTGAGGATTCTTTCTATGGGAGACGGTGTTAGATTATGGAAATTATTCCGGTGAGAGATGAAGGGTCCATGATGACTTCAGGATCCAGGGAAGTTCAAAGAGGGGCATCGCACCCTTATGTGCAAGTTCAGCATGGGCAATCCAGCTACCCTCAACATTACTATCCCCCGCCAATTCCTCAGTACTCTGTGGGCCCGTCATA